GGGGGGGCGGGCGCCGGGCTAGTGCCTTCTTCATCCAGGTGTCCTCCGCCCCGTTTCAAAACTACGGCTCTTCCTCCCAGCCAGCCACCTCCACCCCCGGGGGCACCTGAGGCCGCCGTTCAGGCTCTCGCTTCCTCGCCACCTGGTACAGCAGAGTCGGGGTGGGGCATGTTCGCGGGGCTCCCTGGCTGCGCCCCTGCCAGCTTCTCCCAGGCCAGAGAGTGGCTGGAAATAGAAAAGTTTTCATGGGGGGGAAGAGACTCGCGCAAAAGCGTGGTAATGCGGGAAAGAGCCAGAGACCCGCCAGTCTGGACTGGGGTCATTCCAGTTCGCTTCCCCACCCAGCGCCACCATAAGAGGCACCCGGAAGGTTCGCTGCTGCCAAATCTGCCACACGAGGCCAGCACTCAGTCCTGCTTCTACCTCTCCTCCCCCTTCCATCCTTCGCACGTTCGTTTGCATAGTGTCAGTTGCAGACATTTAACCCTCGACATTTTATATGGGGGCGGGGTCGGTTGCAGTAAATGCAATCTGGCATGGACTCAGAGGAAAGAGCCTTCTAGTACAGGGTTAATATGTTTGCCTACGATGGGTTCAACCAAAGACACACAAACATTTCCTGCTACAGTTGTGTTGTCACACTTATTTTTTCGTAATGTGTTAACATTCATCCACATTGAAATATATTATGTGTGAACTAGCTACTGTATAACACTACTTGAATTGGATGCAAATGACCGCACAAAGTATAAGGCAATGAAGAATCAAGCTCATTGACTTTTTTTTGTAGGGGTAGACCTCAACATTGAGGCAAAAATGGTTACTAATTATAATAAAAGTAACTTACCTATATCTTTGCTGAATTGTAGGAGACACTTTGTTATTTTCACACACATGATGCTGCTCATTTTTGTAACAAGCTACTTTCATATACAAATATTTATATTAATTGGGCAATTAGTTACTTGCCAGTGCTCGAGCAACTCCTTACTATAAGAAAACCCCACAGAAAGATTAGTAAGAGGGGGAAAAACACACTGTCTTCTTTGATGACCATTTCCATCTAAACACTGTCAATAATTTGTTTCTAAAATGATTAATTTGAAAGTTGAAAAACTTTTAAATAGGGATGTTTGGACTCATTTGAAAAATAATCTCAACTTTTATTAAATTCAATAGGACTGAAGGGATCTGATCTGAATAAAGAGTTAAAACTCTGTCATGAGTTATTTTGATCAGACAAAATCATTTACAACTCTTGCTATATATACAATCAGCAGAAAGCATCTTCAGTTCATGAATATGTAATCAAGGCCCTCCCATGAAGGTGATGGGATAATCAAAAGGTGACAACAGATGATATTTGAACCTAGTCAATACTCTGAACAGGTATATCTTCTACCTTAACTAAGGGCAACAGAATAATATTGTCATCCAAGTACACTTTTCTCAATTTATCCGGTTCATCTCATCTCTACAAACAAGCAAAACAGCATCAAAAGACAACTAAACAAAAAAGGTGACAACACCGCATCAAACGGAAATGACCCTCCATCCCAATGATGTTTCTGTGACAATACAACATTGCCAAAACACCCGAGATGCAACTGGCAAACCCACTGTCAAGGGATTAGATTGAAGTAGTTTTAATGAAATATTGAAATACCATTGTAATTTGAAATAATACATTTTTCCTGTTAAACACTAAACTGTACCCCTAGAAAAGAGAAATAAGTTCTCCTTGGATAAATGAGAGAAATAGCAACATTGTATGTGAATTTAAGATTCTTAATATTCATTTGTTGGCTCCTCAAATGATTTTGTTTCTCTCTCTCAAAGGGCTTAGTTAAGATAAAAACTTAACTTATATGGACAGAGAGAAATTATAAACTGTTTAAGTTATCCATGATAAACCAATCTGGATTCATCTTTCCACAGTAGAGATATACTAAAGTAATCTGTGTCCCTTACTCATATTCAGGTTTGGATTTTCTTTTCTTTAATTGAAGTGGAAGATCTACCAGGCTTTCCTTGGATCCTGAGCTTAATTAATTTGGTTTTCTTTATTTAAATCATCGTTCTAAGTATTATGCTTATAAGAAGCACACAGGATCTTTTTCAGGGGGAAAGGCAATAAGCCACATGTATTGCAAATACAGGATAGAAATCAGCGTATGCATTCTGTGTCTCACACACTCATTCTCTCTCCTCCAGTTGGTGTTATAGTTACCAGTCTTATTTGTACTTGTGCCAGAGTAGTGGCCAGTTAGGCTGGGCACAAGCAAGGAGCCTGGTTCTGTTGGCCGGTGTCCGATACTTGGAAGTTGTCTTCACAGGACTAATCCAAAGCTTTATGGCTGTACACCCCACTATTCTGTTAAGTCTCAACTTTAGTGTATTGTTTTTTGCAGTGTCAGGCTGATGTCATCTAATAGTTTTACCTCAAGGCTGCTTCCACTGTCATGCTCCATCAGTACATTGATGAATGTCCTGGGAGTGACTTCAGCTGGTTTATCTCATGCACAGATCTCGTTTGGGTGTAAGCCTTTGCTTTAGAGTAGTCAATTTTACACCTATTCTGCTATCCTGCATGACCAATGCCTGAGTTTGTACTTTGTTAACCATGTTGACTAACATTTCATGTTTCCTTAGACAACAAAATTTTAATTATGTGGGCCATAAGCTTACTTGGGATCAACTTTAAACACCTTTTTTGTACACCGTGCTTTAGCAATGGAAAGTTTTTTTCAGGCAATATTGGAAAGGCCTTCTTTTCAGAAAGGTGCTTAAGTACCTGAGTACTCCCATGGACATAAATAGCTTTTATCACATAATTAAAGTGAAGCATGTGTTTAAGCATCTTGCTGAATTGGGATCTAAATCACTTGCCAGGTGTAGCTACTCTACATGTCCAAGCATATTGTAGGACATATTTATGGTACATCTTCAGAGACCACTTAGACATTTCCTTGGGGATGCTGATTATTATTCATAATATTTTTGGCAAATCACGTTCATTTTTTCCCCCGCCAAATGAAAAAAATTGAAGTTGAAATTTAAAAATTCTTCTACTTGCTGACCTCCACACAGAGTGGCTGTGTAGCCCATAGGTATGGCATGGGACTAGGAGGGACATGGGTTCTTTTTCTGGCTTGGACACTGCTCAGTTGATTAGGTGAGTCACTTTCTCTCCCTTTGCCTTTGTTTCCCCTTGTACTCATGCTCTCTATCTCAGAGCTTGTCTTCACTATCAGCCAGATTGCTGTGGCAATGATTGATCCAGAATGGGTCGATTCATTGAGTCTAGTTATACACAGAATAAATTACTGTAAATTAGAGAATATAACCCGCGTACAAGTATAACACACACTCGTGTATTACCCGTGGTTTTTCTATCATGTGTAAAAAAAAATTAGATTACCCGTGAATGTATATAGCCCTCAGAGACTTCTGCCGCCTTCCTAAAAGGTAATCTTTGATGCCGCAGTGGGAGATGTGGCAGCAGCGGAAGTGCTGCCTCTTGGGCCAGTGCAGCAGCCCCGGGCACTTGAGCAGCAGCGCCAAGGTGAGGAGGTAGCTGCCCCGTGTAGAGAGCAGACACAAGGTGACGGCCATCCTACTGCCAGAAAGTTGGCCAGCCTGCGGGAGGGGAGCCGTGCTTGTGCCCATGTCCGCCCTGCGCAGCCGCAGCCAGGCACCACCCACCCTCCTCCAGGCAGGGAGAACGGAGAGCGCAGTGCAGGCATGCTGGAAGCTCGTCAGTCCCTCCCTGCCCCCCTGCAGCAGAGCTGACCCCGTGCAAAGGGGGGGGGCAGAGCCGTTTAGGGGAATTGATGCTCCTGGGGGGACTCCAAGGAGTAAAAGTCAACTTGTTTAAGATGCGGACATGTATACCCCACGGGGGGAGGGGCGTGGTTGGTAAAAACATTTATAACCCGCGGGTTATATTTGCTAATTTATGGTAACCGCTAGTCGCTCTGCT